AACAGGAAGATAGTTCAAAGTCCCAGAAAGAGAGAACAGAATATTCAAAAAGTCCACAGCTGAAATTTTCAGAGATGATATATATCCACGAATACAAGAAGCACATGTATAGCAGGCAAGATAAATACGAAGAAAGCCACATATAGACACATATAGAAACTGCACATCAGAATAGATGAAAAGAATATCTTAAAAGTAGCAGAGAAGGGAAAAAAGAGATCCTGCAGAAAAAAAAGACAATTAGCAGCCGACTTAAAACCACAAAGGAAACCAGATAACAGTGGAATAGTAACTTCAAAATATTGAGAGAAAACTATTAACTAGAATTCTACCTAGTAAAAAACTATCAAGAAATGACAGTTTTTAGGACATTGTCAGAAGGACACAAATCTGAAAGAGATCACCCCTTGAGCAGAACTTCTCTAAGTAACTTCTTTCAGGAATATATCCTTTAGAAAGAAAATGGCCTTAGAAGGAATGTCTGAGACATAAGAAAGAAAAATGATCAAAGTAAGCACCTAGTAAACCCCAAAAAATATGTATATGATTATCATAATAATGTTTAAGTATAGGTTGGAAAATAAATTACTAGACAATACTAGCTGGAAGAAAGGTGATTGAAGTTAGTGTTCTAAGGTTCTTTTGGTGTTCAAGAAGGCATTTAGCATGCTTATTAGATTATTAAATTAAATATGCATCTAAATGTTCAAGGTTAACCAGTAAAAGAATAGAGAGGGGCAGAGGGGTATAAAAAACAAACAAGAAAACCTATTAAAAACCTTCGATTAAAAGAAAAGAAGAGGGTTCTGGACTAATAAACACGAAAATATGTTCAACTCATTAATAATCAGGAAAATGCAAATTAAAGCTACAATAAAATACTATTTTACACCTATCAGACTGGCAAGAATTAAGTCTTACAATAGCAAATAAATGAGAAACCATAAACTGGCACAACCATTTTGGAAAACAAACTTGGCATTATTTTCTAAAACTGTTACCAAGCTGATCAGGCACACAGTGCAAATCAGTACCTCTGCTTCTAGGTATACACTCCAATTCTTGAACATGTGCACCAATAAATTGTATATAAATGTTCATTTCAGCGTTGTTTAAAAAAAAGGTAAAGCACTCCCAACAACATAAATTGTAAAAATGAACCTGCTGAATGAAATGATAAAATTACATAACTACTTTACAAATCATATATACTACTTTTATAAAGTTCATAAGTAAACAATATATGGCTTAGGGATATATAGAGTAAAAACAAAAGGAAAAGAAGCAAAGGAATGATCAGTTCAGGACAGTGGTTACCTCTGGGGAGAGGGATAAACCTGGGTTTTGGAACTGAGAAGGAACACAAAGATAGGGTCAATACTACCAAAAGTGTTCTAGTTCTTAATTAGGGGGTGGCTACATAGTTGCTTGTTTTATTATTATGCTTCATAACTTCCATGTGTTACATATGTTTTATATATGCATAAAATATTAAATATAGAAATAAAATGGCAAGAAATCAAGAAACATTTTTGTACTGCCCTCTTCATAAGAAGAAATTATGAACAAGGAAATCATCTTTCCTTAAATGTATTATACTACCTTGTGAAATCAGAGGTATAGCTGGTATAGTTTTATAGTCACAAAGAATACTGGTTCAACCACTGATTAGTATGGATTTTCGACAAGTGAATTAATGCCTTTGAACCTATTTTTCTTAATGGTAAAATGCAGAATTAGTATCAAGATTAAAAATATTATTATAAAGTGATTGGTACAGACGATACACTTCAAAAATGATAGTTATTAACACCTCCACCCAAACTTAAAAGAAAGCCCCTATAAGCCACTCTTACCCAAAGGTAAGAAACCCCTTATATTCTACCAAATTGGTTCAGAAAGACTGAATTTAGTCTCAACTGTTAAGATAATGTAAGAGTGACTTGTTAAAAAAAATTTTTTTTACATTCAAACAAGCTTGTAAACTTGTCCCTCAAAGAGGCTATGTACTTATTTCACTGATGTTACTACTGCTTAGAGTGATTTTAGAAATCTTCTGTTGAACTGTTTACTTTTGAAAATTTTTTACCAGGGAAGGAAAACCTTAATTCTTTGAGGTTAGACTTCACCTGTGAAAACAGCCATAAAATATTTTGAATCATATCTAATAAACAGAGAACACAGCTCCATAAAGTGGAGATTCTGGTTAAAATTAAGGTGTGACTATAATGAGACTAATTATCTTGGGTGACTTACAAATGGACCCTTCAGCCTATTTTCAAAGATGAGTTTCAGAATTCCCAGGTTACTGCTTGGAAGGACAACAGCCATCTTGATGCATGAAGTGTCTCATTTCTACAGAATGCAAGTCTGTAGTTACTGAAGACAACTGCTTAATCAGTTACAAAGATTTATAAAACTACTTACATCAACTGCCTTAACCTTTAATTTTTGAAAGGCTAACAAAAATCTTTCATTTTCAGTTAAGCATAAAATCCTTTATGTGAGGAGAAAAATATTACAGCCAACTTACTAAGTTTGCACTGATGTGAATCCAACTCTCTGATCTCAGTACTTAGGTAGTATATATAATTTATTATTTTGATTTGCTGGAGAATTATTACACAAATTTATAAATGGTTTCAAGAAAATATCACAGAGAAGTTTTACTGCCACAGTAATTTCACATGACTAAGGTGTGGCTGACCCAAGCCATGGTATTTTCAATCACCTCATATGCATGTGAAAGCTCGACAATGAATAATAAGGAAGACAGAAGAAGAACTGGTGCCCTTGAATTATGGTGTTGGTGAAGAATACTGAATATATCACGGACTGCCAGAAGAATGAACAAATGTGTCTTGGAAGAAGTACAACCACAATGCTCCTTAGAAAGGAGTATGGCGAGACCTTGTCTCACATACTTTGGACATGTTATCAGGAGGGACCATCCTGGAGAAGGATGACATGCTTGGTAAGGTAGAGGGTCAGCGAAAAAGAGGAAGACCCTCAATGAAATGGATTGACATAGTGGCTGCAACAATGGGCTCAAGCACAAAAGGGATTGTGAGGATGGTGCAGGACCAGGCAGTATTTCGTTCTATTGTACACAGCTGGAACTGACTCAACAGCACCTAACAACAACAATTTCACATGAAGAGGAAAAAGAGAGCCGACGACATCTCCATAATAATTTCTTTAAATGGCTGGTATGAGAAATCCAGAAAATATTCTTTACTGATAAAACACGAATTAGATTCTAAACACATTCTCTATCATACAAGAGATGGATGGGGAAAAAAGAACAAAGAAAGTTTACCATTTGCAAGCGTGGTTTATGCAATTCAGCTATCTCTTATCTAGGCATTTAACAGCATTATACATTAAAGTTCATTTGGGAATTAACAGAATGACTAATATTCCTTAGAGGGAGTACAAAGTTTATTCAATAAGTTTAAAATAATCAATTAATTATGTAAGAATATAGTGAAATTAGTCAAAGACAGTATCAAGTAATTGTTTTTAAAGGGGCAGTGCAATAATAAAGCAGTGACTTTAAAGACTGCAGGATCACACAAAAGCACCTAGAAATATTTCTTGAAGAAATAATAGATATATTTATACATTTTCACTCTTTTTTTTTCCATTTACAATTTCAATATTTTAGCTTTATTCTATATCACTTTTTGGTAGGCGCTGTGAACATCTGAGGTTAAACTGATAGGCTTCACAATAAAGTAGCCATCTTCTTTGAATATTTCATCTTTTCATTCCTGTGCATATAATCATCTTTCAGTTGTATGATTCCTTCAGTCTGTTTCTCATTTCATATCTCAAAGAATGTATTTCTGTCCGATAAAGAGACTACTGATGGTATTTATCATTTCATAGTGTTGGCAGGTCCTTCAAAGCTATGCTTCTGTCTACCCATATGTACTGTAACAGACAGCTACATGTTACCTGTACTTCAGATCTTATAAGTATTTCATCTTTTGTGGGTATGGCTAGGGTACCAATTTAGTATGTTAGATAACCACTGTATAGTAAAAACCAGAAATGAAAATGTAATGCTCTTATGTCCCCAAACTCTTATAAATATAACAAAGTCAAAAATATGTTAAAGAGAACAACATTTTAAATCATCTTAGGAATCAATAAATAAGATCAAGATCACCCCCTTATGAAAATAAATATAACATACTAGTAACTACAGCTAGGCTAGCATTACAGGATAAGAACTCCATTAGACACAAGAAACAGTTCAGGCGAAGTTTGGAGACTTATTCTCTACATCAAGCCATTTGAAGACAGTCTAGTAAGTTCTGAAGAGTCAACAGCTGAAGTATGGTTATAGTTACACAAGAGAGCATTGGTTCAGATCCAGCAATGATTTATGAACTTGCCCATAGGCTGACAGCAAACAATAGCACAATTTGAGAACATATGAATTTCTTTTATGAAAGGACCTTTATCTGCCAGCCTGGGCTCTTGCAATTTTTGTTGTTGTTTTGATATACCCAAGTAGGCAGTGGCTTTTGCAACGTGGCTTTCGTCCGGCTGTACTGATATAAGCCCAGGCTCCCATTTAATGAGGACCGTCAGAGCCATTAGGCAATGAACTTCAGGGCTGGATGGTGGAAGTGTTCCTCGCTGCCCCAGCTTCTTTGTGAATCAGATGACTGACCAGCAGTGAACTACAGTAAATTCTAAGGCAAGACTAAAGGAAAATTTAGAAAGGCCTGAGGAGAGGTGCCAAACTACATTGAAAACAGAAAATAGAATATAACAATATTCTTAATAAATACATATAAAAAGATATACATATAACCAACAGGCCATTTTACAGTGCTGGTTAAAACCACGAAGAGTTGGTTAAGTCAACAGGTATGTCAATATCCTGGCTTCAAATTAATGTGTGGAAATATTTTCAATTAAAGTTCAATAAATATACCTGGAGGAGATTAAATATAACTGGAAAAACAGTAGTTTCAATCTTTCTCTTTTTATCAACAATTCCTTTTATTGGTTAATAACAGACCTGAAATGATCAATCTTGGGTTCAAAATCAAATGATTAAATCAAAGAGGAGCACTGAAAATACTGTCAGATTCCCCTCATTAGGGTGTCAGGTAATTCACAATCAAACCCTACAATAGTATCAAATCTAACTCCTTCTATAAAATTCACTCTAGTTCAATTTCTGCTTATTATGAAATAAATCCTTTTTACATGAGATAAGGAAGAAATAAAATTGCCTTCTTGTTCCAATAGAACTAGTTCAACTAGGTCTTTGGGTGTCTTAACAATTCAAACTTAAAATAAGGGCTTTGTATAGCACTGCTATAAGCTTCTGAAAATGCATCCAAGTGGCACTCAGGAAGGTGAAACTTTTTTCCTACTTCTGTAAATATCCAAGGAATTAAAAAATCATCCACTTAGTATAACGCAAGGCATAGATTCGTCAGCACCAAGCAGAAATGATCTTCAAAAGGAGCAGCTCTCCTATGTGTCCTAAGAGCCTTTTGTGGATGAACAGATTCTATTCTCCCCCTTAAGAAAAATCCACTGCCTGAGGTTAATATCTTTAGGCAACATAAAAAGAAAAACTCACTAAATGACTCAGTTGTACATTTGATTTACATAAATTAAAAAAAAAAAAAGATTCCAAGATTTTGGCACTACTTTAAACATTTTCTGGAGTAGGTGTGGTTTCAGGTTAGACTGTCTTCCTTCCCTACTCCATTATCTGTTAAAGCAAGAAGTATCAAATTTAACTTTATCACTAATAATTCTTCAGTTTCCACTCCAAAAGTTCTGCTTAGTTACAATACAACAGGTAACATTTAAATAAGACTGTAGTTGTAATTAAAACTGTTCAAAAGTGGTCATATCAAAATCCTCGTTGTCTTTCTGGCCTAACAGTTATGACTAAATTGTTGGTGGCTGGAACTCAAATCACATACAGTCAACCACATTATTGGATCCATGACCTACATCTCGAATCTGGCTAGTTAAACAGGCACACACAGCTACACCTGCTCCCGCTCTGCAGTGGGACACAGACCCAACAAGCTCCCACCTGAAAAGATAGAGGAAAAAGAACATTTTAAAACAAAAATATGATTTACTCTACTCAAAATACCAACCAAAAACTCCTTACTGTGGGACTGGTTCTGAAAGACAGCAATCTTCCCAAGAGAGAAAGGACCCCAAACAACGACATCTAGCAGCACTTTAACACTCTGGAGTGATCTGTTACTGGGAGATCCCATTAAAGCATAGAGAAAACATGGAAATTACCTGTTCAGCACGGGATCAAATGCTTCCACTGTATTTAGATATGCATTGCCATTATGACCACCAACTGCGAAGATTTTTCCCATTACTGTTGCGATCCCCACTCCACCCCTGGGAGTGGTAAGTGCTGCTACGTAGTCCCACTTGTTGCTTCGAGGGTCATACCGCTCAACTGAACTCAGAGGAGAATTATCATCAAAACCACCTATGTAGAGAAATATTTTTAATATACCATTACAGTTCATAGAAGTTAACTAATAAATCTCAATTCAATAGCTTCTACAAACCCAGTCTTTTAAAAACATTGTAGAATATAGAGAAAACCTGAAAAAAAAAAATCATCCCCACACCTACCACCAACTACTTACCATCAGACATTGCCTATAATTTAATTTAAGTGGCATTTTACCTCAATATTAACATTAAAAAGGTCCCTACCAAAAAAAAAAAAAAAAAAGGTTGGTTTGCACCTGACTGCTAACCTAAAGGTTGATGGTTTTAACCCACCTAGCATACCACAGAAGAAAAGCCCTGGTGATCTGCTTCTATTTAAGATTACAGCCAACAGGGACCAAGGTCTCAGGAGACATCTAGCTCAATTGGCATAACACAGTTTATAAAGAAAATGTTCTACATCCTTCTTTGGTGAGCAGCATCTGGGGTCTTTAAAGCTTGTGAGCAGCCATCTAAGATACACCACTGGTCCCACCCTGTCTGGAGCAAGGGAGAATGAAGAAAACCACAGACACAAGGGAAAGATTAGTCCAAAGGACCAATGAACCACAGCTACCATGGCCTCCACCAGACTGAGTCCAGTACAACTACATGGTACCTGGCTACCACCACTGACTGTTCTGACAGGGATCACAGTAAAGGGTCCTGGACAGAGCTGGAGAAAAATGTAGAACACAATTCTAACTCACAAAAAAAGGCCAGACTTACTGGCCTGACAGAGACTGGAGAAACCCTGAAAGTATTGCCTCGGATACCCGTTTAACACAGCACTGAAGTCACTCCTGAAGTTCACCCCTCAGCCAAAGATTAGACAGGCCCATAAAACAAAACAAGACTAAATGGGCACACCAAATCAGGGGCAGGGATGAGAAGGCAGGAGGGGACAGGAAAGCTGGTAATGGGGAACCCAAGGTCAAGAGAGGGAGTGTGTTGACATGTCATGGGGTTGGCAACAAAATGTGTATTAATTGTTTAATGAGAAACTAATTTGCTCTGTAAACCTTCATCTAAGTACAATTAAAAAAAAAAAAAAAAAGATTACAGCCAAGAAAACCCTATGGAGCATTTCTACTTTGTAACACATGAGGTTGCCATGAGTCTGAATCAACTCAACAGCAACTAACAACAACTAAGATTAAAAATGTTAAAGTGGGAAAAATGGAGTCCCTGCATACAACCAGATAGTTTAGGAAAGAAGAAAAAACCACAAATACTCCTATGTCCTTGGCTTTCTAGAGACAAGCAAGACAGTACTGGGATTCCTCCTCTGTGTGTGTATGTATTTTTTTTAACAGTAAGAGTACTTGAGAAGGGAATAAACTACACTAAATTGTATGAATCATCTAAGATATAAGTTAAAATTTTCCAATTGTCTCCCTCAATATTATAATTGCCATCATAATCGCAGAAATGGCACACTATTACTCAATTCTAGCAATGTACTTACTATATCTCTGAGGGTTAAACACACAGACTGTTATTTTAATACTGCTTTTCCATTAAAAATAAATGTGTCTCTTTTTAGGCTCCATCTCAGTCTAAATGAGTAACAGCTCTCTTTAGTGACTCAGCCTACTTTCCTGGGAACAGGAAGTGTTGATATTATCATCAGTCTATTTTGGGGCAATTCTACTCTGTCACGTGGGGACACTATGAGTTGGAATCAACTCAACAGTACTTAACAACAACAACATTTAGAAACAAGGTCACTAACAAAACATCAACAGAAGTAACTTTTCTCGTGGGTTTAATTTTGTTAAATCAACTTAACTGAGGTGTAATGTAAATAAAATAAAATTCATCATATAACATTTTATGTGTTTAATTAAATGAGTTCTGACAAATGCATACAGTAGTGTCATAATTATTACAACCATAATACAAAACACTTTCAATTCATATAATAAAGTTTTAATTATTGCTTATGCCAATGCAGGGATTAAGTTTTTAACCGTTGTATTTCCACAGCCTTCTTTATCACTGGCTCCCTAGCATTTCTCTAGGTAATACATACAAATTTGTAATAATAAGGAATTCAAAGCAAAGGACAGAAAAAGCAGGATACAATTAGGTTGTTAAACATGGGCATATAGTTATCTAAGTTTTCTTATTCAAATCTGTTTCAAAGTAGGGCTTGAATAACCAAGAGGATTTTTCTGATGTTCAACCTGAGTCATTATTATTTTTACCATGTCTGTTCTAATTCTAACGGCCCAAAGAATTTAATAAGTAACAAGAACAATGATACTCCTGATATAACACACATCAATGCCTATACTAGGGGCAGTGATATATATACTGTAAGAACTTTGAATTCACAAAGACCTGAGTTCAAATTCCAGCTTTGTCACTTGTTCAGGCATGTTACTACGAGTACATTATTCAATCTCTCTATGTCTCTACCTCACAGAGCTGCTGTGATAATTAAACAAAATCTAGAGGTAAATTATGTTACTTTTTCTTAAAATACATCAGCACTATTTACAGATACTTCAAAAGCTAACAATATCCCACTCTCTTATCAAGAAGTATAAATTAGGGAACACCGATTTACATCAACATACGTTAAGTGTGACTTATGCCAGTGACAAGCTGTCTGAACCCACTTCCTCCTCTGTGAAAGAAGAGATTACTAATCACAATATAGTTACCGATTTATTGGGTTACTACAGTGTGCCAGATGCTGTTTGAGATGCTCAACATGTGTTATCTTTAATCCTTAAAACAATTCTGAAAAATAGGCAGTATTTTCACATTCATAATCCTTTAAGGCCTTGGTACTGTGTGTTGAGTAGACAAGAAGGACCATTGGTATCGCTTGGGAGCTGTTGGAAATACACAATCTTGGACCCCTCCTTTGCAGTTTAACAAGGTCCTTAGGTAATCCATGTGCATATTAAAGTTTGAGAAAGGACTGCTCTAAGGTTCCTTCCAACTCTGAAATTCAGAAAGTCAAAAAACAGTATAAAGATACCAATAGTCTTTATGCCTATGAAATATCTACTGGTTTGCTTATTCAACATACTTTGCCTTAAAATGAAGATGAGAAAAACAAGTCTAAGACCTTGTAAGATTTATTATAGCAAAGTATAATTCCTGTCCTCAAATTAAAAAAAAACTAATTTAAATGTAATACCCTACTTTAAATACATTTGCTATTCCTAGTTAAAATATGTTGGTAGAAGGCTTAAACATTAAAGATAGACTTAAACCAAAAAAAGCAGGAATGTGAGCCTTAAGAATGCAAAAGTAAATGTTAAAATGACTCCACTTAAGCATAAATGCAATACAGTTTTTGTTATTGTGTTGTTTTATGACATTGTCATTGTATCTTGTAATAAATTAAACTAGAAACTGTGAGAAAAACTGTCCACTCACCAACAACGTACAAGCAACCATGGAGCTCACTAACTCCATTGCCTGCTCTTCGCTGACCCATTTCTTTAACTTCTATCCACTTATCCAGATGTGGATCATATCTCTCCACACTAGATAAAGAAGCCACTCCATCATTGCCACCAACTGCATAAACATGATTCTAAATGAAGAAAAAGTAAAACCACAAGACATTAGATTTTGAATTGATTCATATGCTCTCCTGATGGTAGACTGGAATGTACAACAAGAAAGCAGAATTTCATGAAGTAATATGGTATGTAGTAATCAGTATCTACATACTGGCAATATAAACACATAACTATCAGATCTTTTCTTACTTGGTTATGGATGTGATACATGCAATGCAATGCAATGGGCACGTTGCTACATAACTTACTAGTAGAGCCACAGAGCCAACTCCTCCACGGGGAGTATTCATTGGTGCCACTGTACTCCACTGATCAGATTCTATGTCATATCTCTCCACATCACTGAAGCAAGTGTTGTCATCTAACCCTCCAATTGCATAAATTGGACCTCCTAAGGAGGCCAAGGCAATTCCTCGCCTGCAAAGGCAATAAAATATACTTTAGCAACTGGGTTTGTTTCCAGGAAGAAGATAGCAAAAAATCGTTTTGTTAACCCAAATCATTTAACCTGTCAACCTTCAAATAGGCTGTGTGGTTAGTTTCTGTTATTTTTAGATTTAGCAAAGCTTCTGATTATATGGTTACAGGTTGCTAAACTATACAACTATGTGAATAGTGTCCCTGGAGTTGCATAGTGCAAAACCTGCACAACCGCTGGACTCAGATGAAAGAATAAAGTGAAACCCAACAAAATACTATAATGGAATTCAAAAACATTCAACTGGTAAAACATATAGTTGCATAACTGAGAAGTTAATGAATTTGCAGAGATGGATTTGTTGTGGAGCTCAGAAGTCAACCTCATTATTTCTGAATTATGTTATTGCAGAGCACTTTTTTTGATGCAGGGTTTCACTGTATCAAACAAAAGAACATTAATTTTTATACACAAGCTTTATATCATATTGCCTTACTTTTCCTTGGAAAAGAAGGGAGTCCATATTAAGAGCTATTTCACTGTAATGATGACTGAAGAAAAATTATCTCCATTTCTACACACTGCAGCAAACAAAAGTTGAACTATTCTAAAATTATTATCTGTCACTGACTTGGTATGTACTTTGAATAAAGTTGTGTACTTTTGTACTTTATAAATTTCTACTACCTTCGTTCTTAATCTGTAACCTATTTGAGGAAAAAAAATCAATGAGACACAGCTGTCATTAATGCATTACTACAGGTAAAGCACTTGGAACAGTGCCTGGCCCATATTCAGTGTAAGTATTAGTTATTATTATTACTAAACCAAGATTCTAACTCTGAGCTTCCCATAGAGTGTCCTGGAAAGAATTCTTAAGGATAATGTTATCATTCATTTTCAGTCTCCTTAACCTCTTGTCTCTTAGGTATAAAGCAATGACTTACAAAATAATGTGTTATGACAATTTTCAGGGGTGTGTGTGTAAGTGTTAGGTCAGGGCAGAAGTAAAATAAGTGTGTCTAATAATTCTCCCTAGCCTATCCCCCACCCCAAACCAAAGGAACATATGATATTATTGGCTACTTTCTACTCCTCCAAATTCTTTTCTCTGGATTTTCATGACATCACGTTTGGGTTCCCTCCTATATCTGTGGCTTGGGCTTTTCAGTTTCCTTTATCTCTGCCTTCTCCTCTACTCCATCACTGACCGAGGCATTCCCTAGAGTTCTGCTCTATGGCTGTTTTATCACTCTATACTCTCTCGGGAAATCTTATTATTTCTCTGATTTATGTAAACTGAAAAATATACTTCCAGACACATATTCAACCTTCTCTCTAAATCTGTCTTGCTGGTTCTTCAACCTTAACGTTAAACTCATTGTTCTGTAGTAGGAAGAATTTTAAGATGGCCCCCATAACCTTTACTCCCTGGTGTTACCCCCGTATTTATGACAAAAGGGAGATTACCTGGGTGGGCCTAATCTAATCATGCAGGGACTTTAGCATGGCGCTGCTGGTTTGAAGGTGAAGGGAAACATGAGAAAGGGACCACAGAATGGCCTCTAGGAGCTGGGAGCTACCACTGCCCAACAGGCAGTAAAAATGGGAAACAGTTCTACAAATGCAAAGCTGAATTCTGTTAACAACCTGAATTGAGCTTGGGAGTGGTTTCTTTCCCAGAGCCTTCAGCTAAGAGCCCAACCCAGCCAAGACCTTGATTTTGAGACCCTAAGCAGAAAACCCAGTCAAACCTGCCCAGACTTCTGACCTACAGAACTGTGAGCTAATAAATGGGTGTTGTTTTAAGCTGCTAAATTTGCTGTAATTTGTTACACAGCAATAGAAAACCAACACACCACCCTCACAAGACAGACAAAGACTGTATCCTGTTTACCACCTAGTTTTTCCCTAAACCGCAAAACAGCATCACTATTTATCCAGCTGCTTAAACCAGAAACTGAAAAGTCATATTTGCCTCTACCTTATTGTTCTTTCCACCTCTCACATCTAATCATTACAAAATCTTGTTGATTGTACACCTCTTAACTCTCATATATGTCCTTTTTTCTCCATCCCAGTTTTTACCCATTTAGTTGAAGACACCATTATTTCATAATTGAAATATTACAGTAACCCTTTTTGGTCTCCCAGACTGTTCTCACTCTGGTTCTCCTCAAATCCCTTCTCCATTTTGTATCCCCAAAGGATCACTGAAAAGAGGAATCTGGCCCTATCATTGCCCTACTACTACTACTGATTTTAAAAAAGAAATCTATTTCTAAGCCCACCAGATAAAATTAAAAATTCTTGGCAAGCCTGAAAGGCCATCATCTGTGCCTACTGTGTTAGTCATATTTCTTGACATTGCTCCATGATCTCTCAGCCATATTGGACTTCTTTCATGCTCTCTGCTCTTTCACCTCCAGACATCTGAAACCTCTTCATCTCAGATTCACCATCCCTACGTCACCCAACACCACTTAATCAGGCTAAATTCTTCTATTCTTTCAGATCTTAGGCTAAATGGGACTTTATTAAGATCTTCACTGACCCTCCAATGATGTTATATTTTTTTCTCAAGCACCCTTTACTTACACCCTGTGCTAACATGACTGCCCTTGTAATTATGTCTTTATTTGTATATTCCCTTCTAGAATTTAAGTTCTGTGGAGACAAGGACTTTGGCTATCTTGCTTACTGCTGTATCTTCAGCACCTGCTATGTCTTACACTGGGCACTTAACCAGTGTTTGTTGAATAAATAAATCAACCCTTAGAGATGCTCTGTTAGGATGATGGGTTTCAATAAAACCACAGCTTGAACACCTGTGTTAATTTTAGTGGAGGATGAAAAAGAAGAGTAAAGTTTTTTAAACTGGTTATTTTACATGTGAAAAATGTCTTAGAAAATATACTGAAAAGTTTTGGGGGGAATATAAATAATAAGCAAATAATATGACAAAATAATTGCAACTCTTATTTTTTACACAACAGTTTGATAACTATTGTAAATGCTCAGGGCATATTTTAAAAGATTAAAGAAATTCAACTGCTGTTTTGCTAGAGAAGTTTCATTCAATCCTTGGCTAAAAACCAGCGTTAAGAGCATGATAAACAAGCAAGGATATAAAGATAAAAAAAGTACTTTGGGATTTTCCCCACCTTTTAATCCATGTGTTAGAATTTAAACTATTTATGTGTAGTTACCATGGAGCAGAAAACCCTATTAAAGTATTAAAATGTCATTTGTAGATAAGTGGGAGGTAATAGCATATTTTAAGACTAGCTTGTCTTTTTTTTCTTTTTTTTTAAATTTTACTGTGCTTTAAGTGAAACTTTACAGTGCAAATTAGTTTCTCATTCAAAAATTTATATAAAAATTATTTTGTGTGGAGTTCCGGCAAAATGGCACTCTAGGCAGAAGCACCACGCCGTCCCTCCACAGCAAAGATCCAAAAAACTAAGCCGAACAGAGAATACAACAATCCTGAAACCCTAAAACATCAAATGAAGAGATAAAGAACTCAGCCAAGCACCAAATGGAGTGAGAAAACTGACAGAGAATGG